TGAGGGCTTACAATCTAAAAGGGAGGGGCAAGTGATACATGAGGAGGTAGCTGTGCGGGGATGATTGTTTGAGAAAGTGATTGTTCAGTGGTTAGGTTGAGGTGGGATAGGCTTCCCTGAAGAGGAGTCTTAAGGGAACGCCTAAAGGCAGTCAGAGTGGGAGATAGTCGGACAGGTTGGGGTAGAGAGTGCCATAGGATGGGAGAGATTCTAGTGAAGTCTTGGAGGCGAGCATGGGAGTAGTTGATGAGAGAGCTGGAGGTCTTGTGAAGAGCGTAGGGGACGGTTAGGGTAATATTTTGAGACCAGGTTGGAGATATAGCCGGGGCAGAGTTGTGGATGGCTTTATAAGTGGTTGTTAATATTTTGAATTTTATCCTTTGGGCGAGTGGAAGCCAGTGCAGGGATTGACAGAGGGGGTTTGCAGACACTGAACGGTTGGTTAGGTGAATGAGTCTAGCAGCTGCATTTATGATAGACTGAAGGGGGGATATCCTGTGTAGCGGAAGGCCAATGAGGAGGGAGTTGCAATAGTCCAGACGAGGGATAACAAGGGAGTGGATGAGTAATTTTGCAGTTTCCTTGGTGAGGAAGGGTCGTATTTTGGAGATGTTACTAAGGTGAAGGCGGCAGGATTTGGATAGTGATTGGATGTGGGGAACAAAGGTGAGGTACGAGTCAAGGATGACAACTAGGACCTTGGCATGGGGGGAGGGCTGGATAGTTGTGTTAACAATCTCAAGGGAAAAGTTGGGGGAAGGTGCACGGGCAGGAGGAAATATCAAGAGCTCAGTTTTTGAAAGGTTGAGTTTTAAGAAGTGTTGCGACATCCAGATAGATATGTCAGTTAGTAGATTAGTGACACGCAAGGACACTGAGGGGGAGAGTTGCGGAGTAGAGAGATAGATTTGAGTGTCATCGGCATAGAGATGGTATTGGAAGCCATGTGAGGTTATTAACTGACCAAGAGAGGAGGTGTAGATAGAGAAGAGAAGGGGTCCAAGGACAGAGCCTTGGGGGACCCCTACAGAAAGAGGAAGAGGAGGGGAGGAGTTAGAATTGTAGGTGACACTAAAGGAGCGCTTAGACAGGTAAGAGGAGAACCATGAGAGAGCAGAGTCTTGTAGGCCAAGTGAGTGGAGTTTTTTGAGGAGGAGCAGGTGGTCCACAGTGTCAAAAGCAGCAGAAAGGTCTAATAGCAAGAGTAGGGAATAGTGGCCATTGTGTTTAGCTGTTAGTAAGTCATTAGTGAGTTTTTTAGGAGGGCGGTTTCAGTGGAGTGTAGGGGGCGAAAGCCAGACTGTAAGGGATCGAGAAGGTTATCAGCGAGGTGGTGGCTCAGGGGGCTGTAGATAAGGCGCTCTATGAGTTTGGAGGTGAATGGGAGTAAGGAGATTGGTCTGAGATTGTTAAGGTCGGTAGGGTCCATTGATGGTTTTTTGGGTATTGGGGTGACCAGGGCATGCTTTAGAGGGGAGGGAAAGATTCCAGTAGAGAGAGAGAGAGATTGAAAATGTAAGTAAGGGAGTGTAGGATAGAGTAAGAGGGTGACCGAAGTAGTGGTGAGGGAACAGTGTCCAGGGGGCAAGTGGTGAGGTGGGTGTCAAGAGAGAAGCTTTGTAACCTCCTCTGTGGTGACAGGGTCAAAAGAGGAGAGTAACAAGTGTGATGGAGGGTCTGGAACATGAATAGGGGAAGGTGACTGCACAGTGGCGATCTGATCCCGAATTGTATCTATTTTGTTTTTAAAGTGAGTGGCAATGTCCTGGGCAATGAGTGAGTTAGTGGGTGGTGGCGGACATAGTAGAGAGTTAAAAGTGGAAAAGAGTTGATGAGGTTTGGATGAGAGTGTGTTAATGAGAGTAACAAAATAAGTATGTCTGGCAGCACGGAGGAAGGAATGATATTTTTAGGAGGGCAGCTTTGTACAGTGTGAAGTCTTGCAGAAGCCTAGTTTTTTCACCCCAGTCGTTCAAGAGAGCGACTATGTCTTTAGATGTCTGGTTTCTTTTGTTTTGCCACGGTTGTAGCGGACGTGGTCTAAGTCTGCGAGTAGTGAGGGGAGCCAAGGTGTCTAGGGAGGATGAAAGTGAGCTGTAGAAGACAGAAATAGCCAGGTCAGTGCAGGACAGGGGTGAGATTTTGTCATAGAGGTAGTCAGGAGCAGAGAAGAGAAGGGTCGAGGTGGCGAAGGTTTCTCCAGGTGACAGTGTGACGTGTAGGTGGATTCAGGGTTGGGGATAGGGTGAGGGTGAAACTGACAAGGTTGTGGTCTGAGGGCGGAAAAGGGGTGTTGGAGAGGTTGCAAGGAGTGCATAGGTGGGAGAAAACAAGATCTAGTATGTTACCATCAGAGTGAGTAGGAGTGCCTGACCATTGTGTTAGATCAAAAGAAGAGGTTAGGTTAAGAAATTGAGCAGAGGCTGGGGTGTTAATGTTAGTAGCAATGTTAAAGTCACCAAGAATGATAGTGGGTATTTCTGAGGAGAGAAAGTAGGGTAGCCAGGCAGAGAAGTCATCCAGAAAGTGAGATACTGGTCCTGGTGGCCGATAGATAACGCAATCCTCGTGAAATTGGAGAGAATAGGCGAATGCAGTGGGTTTTAAAAGAGGAGAGGGATAGAGAGGGAGGTGAAGGCAGAAGTTGAAAAGTGCTTTGAGGGGATAGAAGGATTCCCACTCCACCTCCTTTCTGTCCATTGGGTCTGGGTGAGTGCGTCCAATGTAGGCCACTGTTGGAGAGGGCAGCATGGGAGGCAGAGTTGGATTCCTGAAGCCAGGTTTCAGTAACAGCTAACATGTTAAAGGAATTGGAGATAAGATCGTGGACAGCAGTGAGTTTGTTACAGACAGAGCGGGCATTCCAGAGGGCACATGAGAAGGAAGGACTGGTTCTAGGAAGCAGGTGAATAGAAATCTGGGTGCGTGGATTGCAGCTGCTACCAGAGGAAAGGCAGTGCTGGTTTGCAGGAGAGTATTGGAAAAGAGAGGGCCCGGATTGGGAGAGATATCCCTACATCTGACATGCTTTGGTCCCCGGCTGTGCTTCTATCATTTAGGGGTTTGGGGGTGAACAAACGTTATAATGCTACCATTGTACACAAACTGGATAGAAACTGAGCTTTAAATCTACTAGTGTACACTAGAGTCTTGAGGTTTGTTGGTGTTTGAGTCTTTAATTGAAGTTTACCTGAACTCGCAGTTAAGATTTATGTCATAGGCAACATCTAGAATTGATTTATTGTGTCTAAGCCAGGCATGGACATATCCCAGGAGCCAGGCAGCCAATGCACCTTACAGCTGGTGCCTAACTTTTTGGAAATTTTCAGTTGTCAGTGAAGCTGGCTCCGGAATTCCACATTCATTTTCCCACTCCTGGCCTAAGCAGTACCTTGAAAAATGTACTTTTTTTGTCTTGAATTCCCCCTGAAAGAAAACGGTTCACTTCCTGGTATGTGAAAATATTTTGGCCTTCCTGTGCTTAAAGCTGCAAATTTGTATAGTTTTATATTTGTAGTGTGAGATAGAAGACGCTGCTGCCTATGATTGCTAGTCTTAGGAGTGATTTCATGAGGAAGCAAAGCCCTGCCTCTACTAAGATGGCTGCTTCCACTCAAAGGTACAGAACAATGCTTGGTAAATTGGTAAACCAGGAAAGATCAAATGCAAGGAGAACACCGATAATACTGGTGACTTCTCCTTTGCTTTGCCTGCCTTTTTTTGGGGGGGGGGGGGGGTGACTTCTGTTCACTTCTTTAATGTTTTTTTCTCTGCTTAGCAAAACATAGAAGACTTTGCATATTCATAGAAGAACCAACGGGGTTGCTGTGTCCTTCAATTTAACATAGAGAAAGGGATTTTATAGTGAGTACAAGAAATCCTATTTTCTCTTCTGTTTTTATTAAAGGACACAGCAGAACTCTTCTGTTCTGGAACAAGGGGTCATAGCTCCAACTCCTGTGGTGCAACGATTCAAAATAATTTTTCTCCATCCTGTTTTCCATCTACACACCAAAAGGGGGCATCCAACCCTTCTAGGCCCTCAAGCCCCATGTTTTCTTCCCCCGAAAGTCCCCCAGGGCTGCATGCAGGTCTGCTAATCTGCAGAGAAGTAGGTTAGAGGACATGAACTGAGGTGGGACTGAGATCAGAAGTCTAACTAGTAGCCCCTGGAACCACCACCAACATCTGAGCAACTGAGATGCTGCCGGCCCTAAAAATCCGCAAAGGCTAACAGATGTTATGCCACCCCATTGGAAAGTTGGGATGCCTTCACATGCCAAGAAGACTTACCCGAGAACTCTAAGCACCAATGTTTGCAGGCAGATTGCGGTAAAGGCCTGTAATTAATGAAAGAAACTTGCTCTAGCCTATGAAAAGGAATAATCTCAGGCTTCTGTTAGTGCTGTGTGATAGGTGGGTACTCCCACCGCCTAGGGAGACTCCTTTTGAGGGAGTCCTTTTAGGATTGGGTAGGATGGTTACAGCAAGTCTGAATGTGGGCTGACACCCTTCTTCAAGAATAGTTGCTGCCTGGTTCTGCTGCTGGCCTAATGGCCTCTGACAGGAAACGAATGCACTCCTGTTCTGGAACACTTCTCTTGCTGCATGCTACACATATAGTGATTTACATAGTCTGTCCTGTGGATAGCATTGTAATAGCAGCTTGAATAGCTCTGCCTCTTGTGGGAGGAAGATGGGCCAAATATACTTGCTGCACCCTTGAAACCCCACTACATGGTGACTCCTACAGGGTATTAGGCAATATGTGGGTCTACCAACCACTGCAGTGCTCTAGGAGAGATAATATGACCTCTTGTGTTTTGTCTAGGAATCTCACAGAGCGTGGGCAAAGGTGATGGCACATAAGCTCTCTTAGGTCATACCTAGATGGTATGGAATCCTCATACATAGTGCCATTTGTTCACTTTTATCATTGTAAATCAACTTTGTCATTACTAGCTCTACCTAATGTGCTGTGAATGTGTTGGTTTTTGCAGGTCGAATACACCAAGCTATGGTAACATCCCTAAATGAGGACAGTGAAAGTATTACAGTGGAATGGATTGAAAATGGAGACACAAAAGGAAAGGAGGTAAGTTTGCTCTTTATCTTCTTTGTAGATAAATACAATCCTTAGAAATCTAATACAGTTAAAGGTGAGCTAGGAGAGCTCCAGGAAATATTAACTTACCCTCTTCCTGTCTTTTTATGGCTCTCCGAGAACTGTGCAGAGAACATAGCTGTACCATTGCTTGCAGTCTGTCCACATAGACTTCCATTGCAGCAATACAAATCCTTACAAATTCTTAGCATTCTATATAATTCTTATACTTATCTGTCCCTGATGCAGCAACCTGTTGCTAATTTGTAAACAGCCACTTGTAAAAATGTTCCCGGCTGGGCCCATGTATATGATCTGCACTTCTATTCTACCCAAATTCTTATGAATTGTTGTTCTACATTATTCCTCAGTGTTGTTCTACATTATTCCTCAGTGTAGTAGGGACTCTGCTCTTCATATAGAGCACAGTATACCATGGATTTTTCTCTAGCCAAGTACATTAGGTGTATCAGTATAGTAGGAGCTACACTTTCTCTCTAGTTCATTGTGAATGGGGCTGTATTATTCTTCAGTATCTCATTACAGCAGGTGCTCCATTATTTCTTTATAGATTAGTATAATGGTTAGTGCTGCCGGGCCTGCGCTGTCCCTCCGTAGCTCAGTGCTGCCGGGCCTGCGCTGTCCCTGCGTAGCTCAGTGCTGCCGGGCCTGCGCTATCTCTCTTGTGGAAAACTTTATCCACTATTTTCAATTTGCATATTTTATATCTTTTGATTGCAGTAATATTAAAGTGGCACTTCAGGGAAAAAAAGAAATGTTTAAGTTACATTGGGCCAGCATAATTACCTGCAATTAGGGATGTCCCGATACCACTTTTTCAAGATCAAGTACTGTCCCTCATGTACTTGCTGATACCAATTACCGATACTTTTTCTTAAAGGGACATGTGGCATTTCTAAAACAATACAGACTAATGATTTTAGGGCAGTTTCTCACCAGTGCTGCATGCATTGGAGGTGACAGGTTCTCTTTCAGGTGACATTAGGGGTCTTTTAGACCTAGTGTCACCTTTCTACTTTACTGGATTCACTAAATGTAAATACAGCACGCAGTGGCTGGTGAGATATACCAAGATATACTACTAAAAGCAAACAGTTTCATCAAGTGGAAAAGGAATGGGCACTTGTAACAATAGCCAGCCTGCTATTGGATATTTTAAATTGCAATAGCTAATAGTACCCGCCCATTGCCTGCTGTCAATCAGCAAAGGAGGGAACTGAAGACAAAGTTCTCAATCATGTCCTCTCTGCTGATTTACAGCAGGCAATGGGCAGGTACAATAGCCAGCCTGCTATTGGCTATTACAATTTAAAATATCCAATAGCAGGCTGGCTATTGTTACAAGTATCTATTCCTTTTCCACTTGATGAAACTGTTTGTTTGCTTTTAGTGGTATATCTCGGTGTCAGCTGTCCATGCTCCTTATGTGTTTAATAATAATGCTCTCACCAGACCCACACAGAAGTTTTCCCTCTCGATAAAAGAAGAGAAGGTCCGTTCTGTGTGAAGGCAAGATTTACAGCTTCTCTTCTCTCCTCCCCCGTGAGCATACAGAACGGACATTCTCTTCTTTCATTGAGAGTGAAAACTGGTGTGTAGGTCGGGTGATTGCATTACACATAAGGAGCACGGACATCTCACACTTTGTGATATATTACCAAAAGCAAACAGTTTTACCAAGTTGAAAAGGAGGGGACACGGAGGAGCAGCAGCTAAGGTACAGGGGGGAACGGGGCATTTCACAGCCATAGTCTCTTCTGCCTTCTCGTGCCGGCTCCAGAGAGGAGAGGGAGCCTGCGTTTGGTGGAGAGGTATTCCCACTGGGGGAGCGGCTATAGGGGTCAATTGCCGCAGCTAGTTAAAAAAAATTTAAAGTATCGGATCTATGCATCGGGCCATTTTCAGGAGTACAAGTACTCTTGAAAATGCCCTGTATCGTCCCCGATACCGGTACTAGCATTGGTATTGGGACATCCCTACCTGCAATGATTCAAATGTAATATCCAGGAAAATGCAGGGACTCCTCAAATGTTCATTGGTAGTCTGTGCCACATATAGTGTATCCTTTTGATTCTCCAAGAGGTGCTGCAGTGACTTCCCATCTTGTTTAGTGAGGATAGAGATTTGCTTGCTTTGCACTGTTTTTTATCCTTTTCAATTAATACAAGGTGTTCTTTGATTGGACAAGGTGGAGATGAAGGGTGGATAAGGTCTCAATCTAACCTCATCCAATCCGAGAACGCCTTGTATTCATTGCAAAAAATACATGTCTTCTGAATGGAGAGGGTACTGAGCAAGCGACTCTCTGTGCTTAAGAGATAGGAAGTCGCTGCACCTCCATGATTTATTAACGTGGACACTGTATGTAGTACAAACTACAAAGGAAAATTTGAGCATCACCTACAGATGTTGCATATGAATCATTACAGGTAACTACGCTGGTCCAATCTAACTTTTAAAAATATGAGCAATTTCATAAAAGCAATGTTTCTGAAGTCCCAAGAAATAATGGGGCGAGGCATCGTTGTTTCTGTCAATGTAGATGTCAAAATAATAAGATACATTTTGTATTAAAAGCTGCAACATAGTAGCTCAAGGTAGTGTCACCCATTTTTGTTGAGCTATTAGTCTATTTTTCTGTTGAAGTTTTTTTAAATCCAGAAATGTTTCCGGAAAGACGTCCTTTGCAGGCCTGCGTGGTGGGTCAGCGTTGGGTCTCTGTAAACAACTGCACAAAACCTCTATATATCAATATGAGCATTTTTTGTTTATTTCAATTTCTAAACTAACAGCTGTCTCTAAATTTCTTTTATCATTTGTTGTCTTCTCTTAGATTGACTTGGAAAGTATATTTGCACTTAACCCTGATTTTGCTCCAGATGAAGAGATTGAGCCCAGCCTTGAATTACCACCTCCACCTACGCCTACAACAAAAGTTAACAAAATTGTCAAGGTATTTATGGCTGGTGTTTTGGAATGTCTGTATATAGGATTGTAGTAATTGAATGTATGGCTGCTTTGATGAATAGGTAACTGAATGTATGGCTGCTGTGGGGATAGAAAACTGTATATGGCTGCTTTGGGGGATAGAGAATGCTGTATAGCTATTGTGTGGGAAAAGATAACTGTAGGGGATAAGAGAACAGTATTCTGTTCAAGACCGGGAACTGTATGTTTGTCTGTTGAGGATGGAAAACTGTATATATGGCTGCTGTGCGGGATAGGAAACTGAATATATCACTGTTGTGAGGGATAGAGAGCTGTGAATATGGTTGCTGTGTGGGACACAAAATCTTTATACATGACTGCTGTGTGGGGGGATAGAAAACTGTATACAGTCATGTGAAAAAGTACAAATTGTCGACTTCAGTCAAGCATTAGATCCTTATTCAACCAGTGCCTACAGATAGATTATAAATTTTAAAATATAAAAAAAAAAAGACATTGAATAATGAAGTGAACTGAATATTTAGATCATGCCATTGCTAACTAAGGCTTGTATCCCCATAGTGGGGAAAATAGATGAGCACATGTCCAGACGAGAACACTGTTCCCAGCCAGGTAAGACATCCCCCGAAAATAAGACCTAGTGTCTTATTTCGTGCAAAAAAAATAAAGAACACACTGTCTTATTTTCGGGGAAACACGGTATTATTACATTTTTTATAATATAAAGCCAGGTATGCAGAATTGGATATAGCTGTGCCAACCGATAGTGTTCTGGTCTGGAGTCTGTACACGTGCTCATCTATTTTCCCCATTAGGGGAATACAAGCCTTATTTAGCAATATCTGCATAGTTATTTAATGTCTTTTTAAAAAATATTATATGCAGTTAAACAGCATTTTTGTGCCCAGCCCCCATGCGGTGCTGCAGTACTAACCTGCTGTGTCATCTTCTCCATCTGCTTCAGCCACTCAGTGTCACAGCTTAGTCATCTGCTCGATTCTAACCTCTTCTCTGATAGTTCAAAGTATATAGTAATGCAGAGTTAAAAAGCATGTGATCTCGTTCTGAGTCTTTACCTCCTGGTATGGTTCTCAGCCTCTGGAGGGTTCAACCAAAATAGCCTAAGCAGGTGAAATAACAAAGTCCCTTCAAGTGTGAGTGTGGGCGTGTCTGTGTGTCTGTAGAGTGTATGCGCCCCGAGTGTCTGTCCCCTGCCGCTTATATACCAAAATCGACGTTAACGATTGTTCTATCCTATAAGGTCATAACTCTGTAAGCATATTCTTAACTTATTTCTGACGTCACGACTACTATACTTCTCTATATGGTGCGACCAAAACTACTTAACTCATCGTTTCTAAATGTCATTCTACAACTCTATTTAAAACACAGAACCTTGTTCTTTAACCACTCCCATAACAGCTGCTTCTTTACTAGTTCTTCACAAATTCTGACATAGCTTCTCAAGGGCAACCACTAAAAGAGATATGTCTGTTCAAAGTCATACATCTTCATTTAAACGTACGAGGTTACTTGTAAATATATGTGCATGGGCCCATACTATGATTCCCTTTAAGCCAATTAAAATTTGAATCTAAGTATTTTACACGGAGCATCCCTAGTTTTTACCCTTTCCTGTCAAGTCACACTCTCTTCTAGATCTGGGAGGGCTTTCCAGCTTCAAGCAACTATTTTCCTGATTTGTAAGACTGTCAAATGGTCTTCTGTTCTCTAGGTTCTAGCAGGTGGATGTTTTGGTCTTTATCTGATGCCAGCAAGGTCCTTCAGGCTGCTCTTTTCCTGCAAGCAGTCACCAGTTTTTCTGTTTATTTTTCTTTTCTTTTTTCAATGGGCCAATTAGTGTGTTTTTGCTATGTTCCTCCCCCCACAGTTGGACTGCTTTTGAATGTTGTAAAAGTTAGACTTCCTGTGTCCCTCAATAGGGGAGAAAGAAAATAGAATTTTTGTACTCTACATAAAATCTTTTCTTTGGAGTTCATTGAGGGACACAGGTCCCCATCCCTCTGTGTTTTATGATCATGCTTTGGGTACTGCTTTGCTACAAAACTGGGGTGTTCTGGTAGTAGAAGGGGTTATCCTACGTTATTTAATTTGCCACTGTCCAATCTGCCTGTAGGCGGCACTATAACCTGAACGTTAAAGACTTGCTTTGTCCCTCAGTGGACTCCCAGGAAAAGACTTTTGTGTTAAGTGTAAATCTTTTTTAACAAAAATTACTTCAACAAAAAAAATTAGTATATGCATAACTATTCACCAGTCTCAAATGCCTGCCATCGAAATTCCTTCACTTGTAGACTTTTCTGGTTTTTCTTTCTTGAACTGCTCTTTTAAAATTTCCTCATTACATTTCAATGGAACTAAAATTAGGTCTTTGACTAGGCCAGTTCATAACCCTTCAGTTCATTTTAAGCCACACCTGACATTAAGTGCATGCTATTGTGTTGAGATTATTTTCCGGTTCAACTTTAGTATCGGTATCAGTGCCGATACCGAGTATTTGGGCAAGTACTCATACTCGCTCTGATGCCTAGCCCGATACTTCCTGTATCAGGAAGTCGGGCAGCGCGTCATTACACGCTGCCCGGCTTCATTATTGGCCAGGAAGCCGGCTCGATGCTCCCTGGTCATTTCCATGCTTTCTCGTCACATAGTGATGAGAAGCATGGGGATGGCTTCCTTGCTAATCGGGAAGCTGGGTGACGAGTCTTTACATGCCGCCCTGCTTCCTGAATAAGACTTTCGCTACTCTGTATCGGCAGTACCGGAAAAATATCGATACCGGTATCGATGCATCCCTAATTCTCATCAAGCACACTTTTAAAATGCAGAATTCATTGTTGATTTGATGATTGTAAGCTGCCCAGACCCTGGAGCAGCAAAGCATACCAAAACCATAACATTTCCACCACTATGCTTTACAGGTGTTTGTTAAGTTCTTTAATCAACTCCTATCTTTGACTCCTCAGTCCACGCCACGTTTTTCCCCTTGCCCTATATTTGCTCTATTTTCCCCTTGCCCTATATTACATCAAAGGTTTGCCGGTTAAATTGAGACAATCTCTCTGATGCACTTTGACACAAATCATTGCAAACGTTACCTGCAGATCCTGCAGTGATATTTTGGAGTTAATGGAGACTTCTGTTACCATAAGATGGTCAGCGCTTAGGACTGAACTTGCTGGGCCGGCCAGTCTCAGACAACTTGGCAATCGCTTTGTATATTACTTTCCTTACAGTGGAATGATTGATTTCAGATAATTTGGCAGTCTTTTTAAATTCATTGCCAGACTCTTATGCATCTACAATTTTTTGTCTGAAGGCCTTAGAGAGCTCTTTTGATTTCCACTTGCTTACTCCCTAAGAAGGGCACGTCATTGGCACTTAATCTGGAATACCTGATTCTAATTTTATGGTTTTAACAAGACAAATCTATGGTGCAGACGGGCCAGCCTCCAGTACCATGGAAATGTCTGTCGCTATTGCAGCGCAGGCGAGATCCATGCACAAGATGGGAGTCTGTTCTGCCCAGACCTGAACCACCTTCCACCCTCATCCTGCTGCAGTCTGATGTCAAGGAGCGGACTGAGGGCTTGTTCACACTAGGCTGCCCACTAAAAAAATTGCATTATAGCAGATGTGCTAGTGTGCTGTGACCGCTCCAGCAGTGTGCAGTGTCATTTTATTTGGAGTGTACAAGCTGTACACTCTTTTATAGTTCAGGTTCTCTTTAAAAAAAGAAGTCCTCCAGGCCAGTTCCCACATTTGACCTTACAGGTTTCCTTTGTGCACTTTGCATTCTTGATTAGAAATTCTCAGTCTTTACGTGTTCAATACCTTTGCTATCACCAATGCCCCATTAGTTGGTATTAGCAGGTTGCTAGTGTGTTTTTTTTGTTTTTTTGTACAAGCAGTGGAAGTTCTTTGGTTCAGTCCCACAAGCATTTATGTGCTTGTAGATTTAAGGCTGGGTTCACACATGAGCGTATTTTTTCAGCTTGTTTTTTAGCACGTTTTTCAGTTCAGTGAAACGCGCGTTTCACTGGCGGGAATTATTATTTTTTTTTCCTTATTTGCTTTATTTGTAAAAAAAAAATTCACTTTCAAACATCCCGCCGGCTCCGCCCCCCTGCGACGCAGCTGCTCGCAAGGGACGGAAGTCGGCAGTCACTGGAGGACACAGCGGGATCGCGGACAAGGTAAGACCTGTACGCTGTATTCCCGAGTGTGGATCGGGGTTAACAAAGCGGTAATACCAATGGAGACATGCAGAAAAACGCCCCAAAGAAGCTCCTGCACTTCTTTGGGCGTAGGGCGTTTTTTATTGGTTTTCACATGTGTGAACCAGGCCTAAGTGTTGCATCTTCATGGAGAAACCCCAAGACAGCTATTGAATGTTATATTTTTTCTCTACTATTGATAAACAGAACTATCAAAGGCCCCGTTCACACCAGGGCGTTTGTGGCTCAGCACGGAAAAGCTCCGCACAAGAAACCTATTGATTTCTATAGTCCTGTTCACGGCTCGGCATAGCGTCACGCTGAGAAAAATAGCCAGTCGCTGGAAAAAAAGTACATATGCTTTTTTTTTAGGTAGATCAGCGTAATTAGGAATAGGAAAAGGGTCACATTGCGCTGATCTCCCCAAAAAGAGCCGCATACTTGCAGGCTTGTGCAGAGCTTTTCTGTGCTGACAAATACGAGCTACAAACGCCGGCAGTGTGAATGGGAACTAAGTCTATAAAGCTGGATTACTTAAGGAACCTGTCATTGTTGGCCTTTCCTTTTGAAATTAGTAGTTACCAGGCTGCCATGGTAATGCTTTGGTTTCTATTAGGGATGCACCAATACCGATACTAGTATTGATATCGGTGCCGATACTGAGTATTTGGGTGAGTACTCGTACTCGCCCAAATGCTCCGATACCTAGCACGAGTACTTCCTGTATCAGGAAGCCGTGCAGCGCGTCATTACACGCTGCCCTTCTTCCTGATTGGCCGGGAAGCGGCTCCATGCTCTCTCGTCACTTGTGATCGGGAAGCCGGGCAACGTGTAATGACACGCTGCCTGGCTTCCCAATTGGTCGGGAAGCTGGCCAATCAGGAAGCCGGGCGCCGTGTAGTGCTCCCTCGTCATCTCATGGGGGAGCATGGAGCAGGCCTTCCGGCCAATCGGAGAGCGGGGCGCCGCCTCATTACACGGCGCCCTGCTTCCATGATTGGTCACCAAGACTGCTCCGGCAGGGTACCGTGGAAAACCGTTCCTGGTGGGAGAGGCCCCGGGGGTGACAGGCTGGACTTGCCGAGGGGACAGGCTGAGACGGCTTTCTTGTTGATCGGGAATCCGGACGGCGAGTCTTTACAAGCCGCCAGAGCAAGTCACTACAAGCCACCTTGCATCCTGAATGGGACTTCCGTTACTCGGTAATTGGTATCGGCGAGTACCGAAAAAAATTATCAGTATTCGGTACCAAAATACCGGTATCGGTGCATCCCTAGTTTCTATACTTTCACTCTGTCACTGACCTGGAGCAGGTATAGACATAACGACTGACTCTTTTGCAGCATGCTTGTTCTGGGTCAGTGACTTAAAGCTCTGCACCCAGACATAACCAGGCAACCAAAATAATCAGAAGGCCAGCAATTGCACCTTTTGATTTATGTACCGTATATACTCGAGTATAAGTACGCGACGCTCGGCGATGTAAGTAAGAAGAAACCTGACCAGCACGAGACGCTTACTCGAGTATAAGCCGAGGGGGGCATTTTTCAGCACAAAAAATGGGCTGAAAAACTCGGCTTATACTCGAGTATATACGGTAATCACCAATATACTTCGATTATCTACATTTGTAATTCCTAGCAAGCTAACGGGTTCTCTTGAAAAAAAGAACCACCCACCAACTGATGCCTCTTCTGATACCTTTACCCCGCTGCTCTGTTCCTTCATCAGAGGGTTGAGTCTAAAACCTGTGTGAGCTGTGAGTTGGAGGGTTTCGGAGGTTACGCTGTGTCTACTTCCTCTCCCTTATTCATCAGTGTTTAGTTCCCGTGATTGGCTGCTTACACCTAAGCATTCCATCCAGCGATGGGGGGTCACACACTCTGCCATATCTGGGGGGTATATCTGGGGGGTTTTAGCAAGTGCTTCCACAAGACTAGCGAAAAAGTGAAGGTATCAGCAGGCGAGAGGTTCTATTTTAGGGGGACAAAGTGACGTGTGTTCAAGTCCAACATATTGTGTGTGTGTGTGTGTGTGTGTGTGTGTGTGTGTGTATTCTATGCAGGTGCTGTTCTTTTACATTTTTAGTTTGTATGCAACAGATATGAAAGATGAAAAATACTTTTTCTGTTTTTTACTTTAGAATCGACGTACCGTAGCTCCAGTGAACAAGGAAACTCCTGCAAAGGACAATAGAGGTAAGCTTAGAAGAGCTTAGTACCTTTCATAATGACATCACTTTGCCATCTGTTACCTGACTGTACAGACGCCTCTGTTTAGGAAAGAGCCAGATTTCTTCTGTCATTCAGATGCTTATAGACCTTCATTGAAAGGACTGAATGTGACCGTTCCCTTATGATTTGCAATAGCAAATTTGATATTTTAAGAGTACTCTTCCTTTTTGTTTGTTGTATGGTGTTGTGCAGTCCATGGCTTTAGAACTTGCAAGTCAAATGGTCAGGGTAGCAAACAGAATGTATAGTGTAATCACTGGTGTGTTTGTTACTTGCTGGCTTCATATTTCTCTATATCCGGTATACCCAGTCCGCAAGACCCTAATAAGAACTTTGTGCTATCCAATCGATGGATAGTTGTTTGGTCCTTACTATCTGCCAGACAACTTTAAAGAACTAAAGCTAAACCTACCTTTTTTGGTTTAGTTCTCTTTTGGGTCACACGAGGACATTTACTAATGTACTTCTGTGACCCAACCTCAACATATGGTGAGCTATTGCCCGCTATATGCGGACAGCGCTATGCCGCGCTGCATCTGGGATGCATCCTGGCAATATTATTATTATACAGGATTTATATAGTGCCAACATTTTGTGCAGCGATTTACAATATAAGGATATTACAATACTATTCAATACAAGATGGTAAGGAGGGCCCTGCCCGTTAGAGCCTACAATCTAAATTGTCAGGAATAACCCAGCTGCCTGATTTAATGCTGGCTCTGGTCTCTAGAGCCAGAACAAGCTTGCCCACGGAAGAGGAGGGGGGGAATCCCTGCAGGGAGTGTTGACTGACAGTCACTGCTCCCTTCTGATGTCACGTGATCGCTCAGCTCTCGATCTATAGAGCCGGTGTTCTGTCGAATTTGCTGATCTGACCATCTGTGCTTGCGCACACCTGGATGAACGAGAAAACAGCCATTTATTTACAAAGTATTTCTAATTGTTAATTGTGATTGTTCATAATATGCCATCCATGGCTGTAAATGATAGATGGCATTTTTTGCACATTCACAATTAACATCGTAAGCAATTATATTGTTATGTAACTGCTTACGATATTAATTGTGAATGTGCATAAAATGCATCCATCATTTACAGCCATGGATGGCATATGAACGGTCACAATTAACAATTAGAGATAAATACTTTGTAAATAAATGGCTGTTTTCTCGTTCATCCCGGTGTGTGCACAAGCGCAGATGGTCATGTCGGCAAATTCGACGGGGTCGACATTCTCGACAGAACACTGGCATGTGACAGCTGCAGTGTCCCACACTGGCTCTGAGTATTAGGAAGAGTATCATTTACTTTTTCAATACTTTTAACTACTGCTTACATAAAATTCAAATCCAGGAATAAACTACCTGTCTAGATCCTACTCGCACAATAAATCCAAGGCCTGATAGGTGATTGGTGCATGCCGTGTAGGCTGTTGGTAGGCCCTTTTTATTGTGAGAAATAAAATTCATATCTAGACTAATCCCTTTGGCTTGGCACTGTCCTCCTTTTACTCCATAGAAGTCCAGCGCTCCATCAATCCTAATTCTAGAGCAACCTTAAACATGACTCGTGTAAGTTATTATAAGAACTTTATAATATAAAGCCAGGTATGCAGAATTGGATATAGCTGTGCACACTATACAATAATACACTGTTGTCTGGACATGTGATCATCTATTTTCCCAAGAAAAAGAAGTGAGATGATCTGAGGGGATCAGCTCAAAGTACAGCTAGTAAGGAGGGTCGGAGAGTCAATGAATTCCTCAAACATTTTTGAGTATAATCCGGTACCATTTATTATGCTGATCAGCTCATCCTCAAGAGTGCATTTCTGTGTTTTATGAGTGAATGGGTTGTTGCAATAACCAATTTTAGATGTTGAACTGGTGTTGGTGTTAACTGGTGCATTTAGTATGTCCAATGAGATTTTAAACAATAAATGTATAATATTTTCTATCATATTTTGAGTCTCCGACCCTCCTTACTAGCTGTACTTTGAGCTGATCCCCTCAGATCACTTCTTTTTCTTGAGTCTAGTTTAAGCAGCTGGGGGTTGTTCTCTTTTGAGAGTCATCAAATAATTAATATACCCAATTAAGGGGGCTAATTAATTTTGGGGCTGGTTCTCTGGGTTTTTGCCCCTTTTTTCCTATCATCTATTTTCCCCACTATGGGGATACAAGCCTTAGTTAGCAATGGCATGATAAATATTCATTTCATTATTCAATGTCTTTTTTTTAATATTATAAAATTTTATAATATAAAAAAAAAAGACATTGAATAATGAAATGAATATTTATCATGCCATTGCTAACTAAGGCTTGTATCCCCATAGTGGGGAAAATAGATGATAGGAAAAAAGGGGCAAAAACCCAGAGAACCAGACCCAAAATTAATTAGCCCCTTAATTGGGTATATTAATTATTTGATGACTCTCAAAAGAGAGAACAGCCCCCAGCTGCTTAAACTAGACTCAAGAAAAAGAAGTGAGATGATCTGAGGGGATCAGCTCAAAGTACAGCTAGTAAGGAGGGTCGGAGACTCAAAATATGATAGAAAATATTATACATTTATTATTTAAAATCTCAATGGACATACTAAATGCACCAGTTAACACCAACACCAGTTCAACATCTAAAATTGGTTATTGCAACAACCCATTCACTCATAAAACACAGAAATGCACTCTGAGGATGAGCTGATCAGCATAATAAATGGTACCGGATTAAACTCAAAAATGTTTGAGGAATTAATTTTTGAGTTTAATCCGGTACCATTTATTATGCTGATCAGCTCATCCTCAGAGTGCATTTCTGTGTTTTATGAGTGAATGGGTTGTTGCAATAACCAATTTTAGATGTTGAACTGGTGTTGGTGTTAACTGGTGCATTTAGTATGTCCATTGAGATTTTAAATAATAAATGTATAATATTTTCTATCATATTTTGAGTCTCCGACCCTCCTTACTAGCTGTACTTTGAGCTGATCCCCTCAGATCATCTCACTTCTTTTTCTTGAGTCTAGTTTAAGCAGCTGGGGGTTGTTCTCTCTTTTGAGAGTCATCAAATAATTAATATACCCAATTAAGGGGCTAATTAATTTTGGGTCTGGTTCTCTGGGTTTTTGCCCCTTTTTTCCTATCATCTATTTTCCCCACTATGGGGATACAAGCCTTAGTTAGCAATGGCATGATAAATATTAATTTCATTATTCAATGTCTTTTTTTTAATATTATAACATTTTATAATATTTAAAAAAAAGACATTGAATAATGAAATGAATATTTATCATGCCATTGCTAACTAAGGCTTGTATCCCCATAGTGGGGAAAATAGATGAGCACATGTCCAGAACACAGTGTATAGTGTGGCACAGCTGTATCAAATTCTGTATAACTGGCTTTATATTATTATTAAATTTTCTTATAATATAAAGCCAGGTATGCAGAATTGCATATAGCTGTGCCACAGTGTTCTGGTCTGCAGTCTAGACATGTGCTCATCTATTTTCACCACTAGGGGGATACAAGCCTTAGTTAGTCTACATAGTACATAGTTATTTTCTTTTTTTTAAATGATATATGCCGGTAAATAGCATTTTTGTGCCCAGCCCCATGAGGTGCGGCAGTACTAACCTGCTGTGTCGTCTTCTCCGTCTCCGTCTGCTTCAGCCACTCCGTGTCACAGCCTAGTCATCTGCTCCATTCTGACCTCTTCTCCCGCTGATTGGCCGATTGGATGATGACAGGCTTCCTCACCAGTCACTCCTGACTAGTGAGGAAGCCTGTCAATCATCCAATCGGCCAATCAGCGGGAGAAGGGAGCAGATGACTAGGCTGTGACATCTGCTCTATTCTGAACTCTTCTCCCGCTGATTGGATGATAGGCTTCCTCACCATAATATATATATATATGTATGTATATGTGTGTGTGTGTGTATATATATATATAATTTCCCTTGCCGGTATCTTAAAAAAATCCCTCTGAATTACCTGAGCCTGGACGTTTCAAGGCAGCAATTTCCTGGCTGGTCACCGCTGCCGGCTCTCTTAAAATAGTCCTGCACGAAAAAAAAAAAAGTTGTTATACGCCACTTACTACACCCGTATCTGAGGCCTAAGTGAAGTTGCTGTCCATCGGCTTCTATATGTTGTATAGGTATACGCTATTTTAAAATAGGTTCACTTTATTCCTTCAAATTATTTAACATTGGCACTTCTCAATTTTTCCACTGTTATGTAGATTGTGGCGCAACATAAGGAAAAACCCTAGGCTTCTCCCATACATTGCTTATCTTCTGAGGCTGCTGAGAGCAGCATTGAACATGACTAAAATGAATCACATTATTGGATGCCAAATTAGCATAGTGTGAAAAATATGGGAAAGGCTAGAGAGAGACAGAAAATGTAAGTGTTGTATGTAGAAGGAAAGATGAGAAATTAAATAAACCCTTTTAAGAGACAAAGGCACCATTGCTGACCTCCTTTTTCTGAAAATACTGGCTGCTATGGTGGTCTGTTGGTCTGCACTGACTATGAACAAGCTTGCCGTAAGTGAAATCTGAGCTTCTAATGCACAATATTCACGGTCAGAAAGAAATATTGAACCCACAGACGGGCAAGTATCATTTTCAGCAGGAGGTCAATAATGGCAGCTCTTTTTTTCTTAATTGTTGGAGTAATTATGGTACATTGGGTTATGCTGCTGCCTTTAGTATATTGGACACTGGCAAGCACGCCTGTAAGACAGCCTATCATTATGACCCCTGCCAGTCCCCTCATACTCCAATTTTTTGCTAGTATCCTAAGAGAACAGACGTCTTCACTCCTGAAAGAAGCAAACCATTTGATTCTTTTTATCAAGATCGTTTTCCTTCTAGCAATGTTCTACAGTTGCTTCAAAGCCCGAAGGGCTCATATTGCACCTTTCTAGATTGGCTGATCCTCGCCATAGCCACAGATGGCATACCTTGGCCCCGCTGTGAGGAGGAAGAAGCAGGGCTAGTCTCTCTAGACTTTTCTAGGCACTTGGTGTAACATGTGAGTTGCCTCAGAGTGCTTTTCATGTCAGGTCTGATCACTCAGAACTTAGTGATCTGATTGGCTGGTCGCGTGTTGCCGCTTTGTGATGCCTTCATTGCATCGCGCGCTGTGATTGGCTGGAGATGAACTTTTTCATCTCACGACGCTGCGCTACGCACGCTGTCGCCGGGCAGAGCGGGGGATCGGAACTCACTAGACACATTGCAGGCGAAGGACCACGAGTCGCCGCTCGCCTGTGCGCCGCGCTGCTTCACCTGCAGTGTGTCACGGCCTTTAGGGAGTATGCCCTCCAGGGAGGCTGAAGGCTGTCTGGATGGGCCAGTTGGTTTTGTCACTCAGCTTCCGTAACTAAGCCTGTGTAGCCTGTCCTGTTTTGCCACCCTGCTCATGTGCGCACCACTTCTCCGCTGCCACTCGCCACAATTCTCACAAGATGTCCAACCACAGGCTTTCTGCTGCCTTTTAGTGACGAGGTCACTAAAGTGTTTTTCCCCATAGTTCTCTTAAAGGGTTATTAAACCTTCTGGTGTTTTTGCATATATCTACTGCTAGCAAGCAGTAGATATATGCAAAAAGTGTAAAAAAAACAAAACAAAACGCTTTTATAAGCGGTTTAAACTTACTTGTGTCTTCCCCGCGCAGCCGCAAAGCATCTTGGGGCATGCGCAGTTCACTATTTCGGCCGCGAGACGAGGAGAAACACAAGGTAAGTATATGGATGCGTGCACCCGCATGCAGACACTGTGGGACAGGAAGTGCCAGCAAGGACAGAGAGAGGAGCCAGCTCTGAATCGGAGACCCGCAGCAGCATTGGAGGGACAGGAAAGAAGATCGGATTAAGAAACCAAGGTAAGTGCTTTAATTAACATTGGGGGGAGGGGGAAAAAAATCTTTGACTTTAATATCATTTTAAGGGTCACGGGAGGACATATACTAGCATCCTCCCGTGACCCAAAGCTCAGTATATCGCGAGCTACAGCTCATGGTATACTGAGATCGCCGCAGCTGGGACAGATCCCGACAATGCTGTCGAGATCCTAACTCACTAGACACATTGCAGGCGAAGGACCACGAGTCGCCGCTCGCCTGTGCGCCGCGCTGCTTCACCTGCAGTGTGTCACGGCCTTTAGGGAGTATGCCCTCCAGGGAGGCTGAAGGCTGTCTGGATGGGCCAGTTGGTTTTGTCACTCAGCTTCCGTAACTAAGCCTGTGTAGCCTGTCCTGTTTTGCCACCCTGCTCATGTGCGCACCACTTCTCCGCTGCCACTCGCCACAATTCTCACAAGATGTCCAACCACAGGCTTTCTGCTGCCTTTTAGTGACGAGGTCACTAAAGTGTTTTTCCCCATAGTTCTCTTAAAGGGTTATTAAACCTTCTGGTGTTTTTGCATATATCTACTGCTAGCAAGCAGTAGATATATGCAAAAAGTGTAAAAAAAACAAAACAAAACGCTTTTATAAGCGGTTTAAACTTACTTGTGTCTTCCCCGCGCAGCCGCAAAGCATCTTGGGGCATGCGCAGTTCACTATTTCGGCCGCGAGACGAGGAGAAACACAAGGTAAGTATATGGATGCGTGCACCCGCATGCAGACACTGTGGGACAGGAAGTGCCAGCAAGGACAGAGAGAGGAGCCAGCTCTGAATCGGAGACCCGCAGCAGCATTGGAGGGACAGGAAAGAAGATCGGATTAAGAAACCAAGGTAAGTGCTTTAATTAACATTGGGGGGAGGGGGAAAAAAATCTTTGACTTTAATATCATTTTAAGGGTCACGGGAGGACATATACTAGCATCCTCCCGTGACCCAAAGCTCAGTATATCGCGAGCTACAGCTCATGGTATACTGAGATCGCCGCAGCTGGGACAGATCCCGACAATGCTGTCGAGATCCACCCAGCTGTGTGATTGACAGCTGGCTCTGCCTATCTAGATCCGTTCCTCCATTCCTCCATTCAGCGCTGGAGGATCAGAGCGGGGAGGGGGAATCCCTGCAGGGAGTTGATCAAGAAATGAGCGAGTGACTGTATGTGTTCGCTCACTTCCCAATCTGTTGAGCCAACGTGTGATAGTTTCATTGTCACACGTCGGCTCGAACTATGAGGATGAGTGATTTTCACTCACTTCATAGTTCTCCCTTAATTCCTCACTTGCATACTAGAGTATAGCATATAATAAGCACAAGGGTAGCTGTTCTGTGGGCTTTGCCAGTCTAATGTTCACGAACAGTCCTCAGAGACTCTTTGGAGTTGTCTTTATCTCCTTCAGACATGTCCTCTCTACTCAGTCCTGTCCAGGGAATAATTATCTGCAACTATGTCGAGTTTTCAGTCATTTTGGCTAAGGCAGAATGCAGGGGTTGGAAGCATTCTCACACCTTCTCCAGTTTCTTTTCTGATGTCCCTATAGGCGCTTCTGCATGATCAGCTAAGGATGAGGAAGAATGTACCCTGTTAGATAAGATAAGAAAATAGAAATTGAGGATTTGGTGTCCTCAATTTCTTTTCTATTTTAAAAGGGAAATGTCAGCGGTCTGTTTGGACCCCTAATATTTCCCCGAAGCCCCCCCCCCAACTGTAAATAAATAAATAATACAATAAAAATAAAAAAGTAATAAAAAATTATTTTGAAAAAGTAAAAACTGCCCCCCCTCATTAGACATGTGCGAATACTAAAAATTTATTTCAGATGAAATGTGTATGTGTAATGCTCTGTGCGTTGTGCTGTGGCTGTATGTGTAATGTCCTGTGCGTTGTGCTG